AGAGGTGCTGATTACTAGCGCATCTGGACCAGCACCAACAACGAGGCCTGTGGTGTGTGCGACAGCCAGAAGTGAGGAGGTAGGAGCAGGAAGCGCGTCGTCGGGCCATGCTGTTGGGAGGAAGCGGATATTTGCGTCCCCGGAGACGCCTTTGAAACCGACTTCCTATAGCTATATTAGAGAGAACGATCGTGTTGATGAAGTGTTGTGGCGGGACATACATCTGTAAAAACATCCGGAAGCTCTGAACCAAGCTCCGCAGAGGCGCTTCCCCCAGCGGGGTTGGATGCACCGAAATTAAAAGCCATTCTAAGCTTTTCCGAGTTGAATGTCCCAGAGGGAGAACGTGTGCTTTCGCTTAAAGGAGAGCTATGTCTGAGAGCATTAGGTGAAGGTGAGGTGGGAGGTGTAGAGAGCGAGCGTCGATGGAGTGACTGAGGACTCCGGGAGAAGAGGTTGAGAGTATGCGCGAAAATCTTGAGGTTGCGCAGCTTCCCAGGAATGAGAAGACAAGCAAAAAATAAAAAGGGACGCAACGGGTATCGCCGATGCGCAAAGGGTTAGAGAGAGAAGTCAAGAGAGACTACATAAAGAAGAGCATTGAATTCGAAAATAATGTCCGGGCAAAAACACCTTGTTTATGCCTGATAATTAAGGCGTCGGTTTAGGCTGCGGGAGCTTCGTCACTCCAAACAGCTCACTTCCTCTTCACTTCCATCTCCAGCTTGCTATCCCATTCGTCCATCCATCCTTCTCGTTCTCCCCCGATATTTGAATTTCGCTCTTGTTTCTTTCTATACCTACTCTCTATCCTGATAATCAGTTCAGCTGGTCGCGAACACCAGCGTTGTCACGATGCCGGGCTTCGACTTCACAAACTACAACCGCAATGCGGCACTTCATGCCAGGGGTGTTCCCCTTCCCAAGGCCACAAGTACCGGTACAACAATTGTGGGCTGTGTCTACGATAAGGGTGTTGTGGTACGGTCCCAAGCGATGCGAGGAGATCCAAAAGAGCTGTGACCAAGGAGCTGACTCGAATCGCCATTACAGATTGCAGCAGATACCCGAGCTACCAGCGGTCCTATAGTAGCAGACAAGGTAAGAGATACCGATCCGACAATGTGCATTTCCTTTTAGAAGGTATCTGACATTCTTTGTCTCCAGAACTGTGAGAAGCTACACTACATCGCGCCGAAGATCTGGTGTGCTGGAGCCGGTACCGCCGCCGATACCGAATTCACCACGGCGCTCATCAGCTCCAACGTCGAACTGCACTCGCTATCAACAGGCCGCGACCCCCGTGTGATCACCTGTATGACGATGCTCAAGCAGCACCTCTTCCGGTACCAGGGCCACATCGGAGCGTACCTGGTTGTTGCAGGCGTTGACCCGACCGGTACGGGACTGTACACTGTGCACGCACATGGATCCACAGACAAGCTGCCGTATGTGACGATGGGATCCGGATCGCTGGCTGCGATGTCGGTGTTTGAGTCGACCTGGCAACCAGACCTGGACCGACAGGGCGCCATCGACATTTGCGCCGAGGCAATCAAGGCCGGTATCTTCAACGATCTGGGCTCTGGTAGCAATGTCGACGTGTGTGTGATCGAGAAGGACCAGCCCACCCAGTTGCTTCGCAACTACATGAAGCCCAACGAGCGCCCGCAGAAGGAGCGCAACTACCGCTTCCCTCGCGGTACCACTGCTTATTTGGACCAGAGAGTTATCAGCAAGGAAGATATGAAGAAATATGTCACGATCGAAACTCTGTCCGGTGATGATAACCTTGCTATTGGGGACAGCATGGAAGTTGATACCTAGATATTCTTGGAGATGCACTGACCAGTGGTCTTCTTGGGTTGATTTAATGCACGCATGGTTTCTTCTCTCCATTATGTTTTCTGTACGATCGTACTCGGGCAAGACTGCGGCTGTACTGTTCGTGGAGTTTATGCTACAAGGTTTAGAGCAGGTATGACCAGGACAGGAAATCGGAGTTTTCAAAAACTTTATGTGTCGCTCATGTAAATTGTATTCTCAGCTCAGCACCTTCTAGGAAAGGTAATATCAAAGCAGGGGTATATCGTATCGCTCTATTTTACAAAATGTTCTCGTGTAGATATCCATTCACATACTACATCTACTGCCAGTCAGGCCTCGATTCTCCAATCTGAGGCAGAGCAGTGAGCTCTTCAACGACCTCAGGGCCTTCAAACTTGCCAACGATCCAAAGAATGTACTCATACTGAGTAGCCGAGATACGACGACCGTCGCGGCGGAATCGCACAATACCAGCATGATACATGGCCCGCACGAATTCCGGATCCACGGGCCCGCCGTGTCTGCGAAGATACCCGTAAAGCCAGTGAACCATATGGAACGACTGACACGGAGTCAGGTGCTTGCAGCAGGAGAGAGAGACTGCCAGCTGGTTTATGAGGTCGACTGCAGCATGGGGATCGGGGCATCGGCTGTCCCGCGGGCCTGGGTGGTATCGCACGAGGACTTTTTCATCGGGGTGTGGAATGGGCTGCCAGGCTTTGTGGAGGCTGACCTTGAATGGGGTGTTGTTACTGAGAAGTCTGAGGACGGGCCAGATGTTATTTGAGTCGCCTGATCGAACAACATTCAAGAGCTCTTCAACTGTGGCCGGGTTTGTGAGGTCCATGCGGTGGAACATTTGGTCGAAGGTGGTGTGGAAGAGTCGCTGTATTCCCTTATATATGGATGGGTTTGTCCACACTTCTGCTAGAGAGAGCTGGGAGGTTTCGAGTTGCTCGAGGGTTCTGCGGGTGGTTTTTGTAATGGAAGTTTTGCCCTTTTTGTTCAGGGCTAGGATCAGGAGGCTGTTGTATGGGAGATCGAGGTCATGGATTTCCCGCATGAAGTCCGGAAAGAATGCTCCGCTGGTATCTTGAATCACCGTTTGGTAGAGATTGAGTAATGAGTAGATCGGTTGATCCGTTTCTCTTGCACTCTGGTTGTACATAGGCCCAGTAGATCGACCAAGCGTTCGTAGAAGCCAGAGTCGCAAAATGATCTGACGTTGAGTTGAGTGGCTCAGAGGGGCATGCTTGATCTGTTTTTGAACACACGGGAGAGGGAAATCGAACCAGACCTGTGACTTGGCAACGGTTGAAATGACTTCGGCATTCGCGAGGCAATCCCGCCATCTTTCAAGCAATTGGTTTCTGGAGACGCTGTCTGCTGAAGACGATGCCAATGACTCTGTTACACGAATGACACAATCCGCCGCACTGTTCACATCCAGCTGGCTGAAGATCTTGTCGGGAAAAGGCAAGCTTGTCTCCGAATCAACTTCCATAGTTTCCAACCAAGCTTGTACTAAAGCAGAAGGCCACTGGCTGCGACTGTCTGCATCATGGGTTCCAATGATTATTTCCTCAGCAAAACGAAAGCTTCGAGTACGCAAGAGCTCCCCAAGCCAAGCATCAACAATATCTCTGTCCAGATCGTGATACCCGAGAATGTTACAGCACCCAATAGCTTTCCACATTGCGCGGTAGTGCTTCAACAAAGCTTTATGGTCCCAAGATCCCAGAGTCTTGTTTCCTTCGACAATGATATTCGGTAGAGCGGTAATGATCAGACAGATCTCATCAGTTGAAATTGACCCCAACTCTAACGCACGATTGATGACATTCAAAACAGCGGTTCGTTTGCCGCGTTTCGTTTTTGTTCGAACGAAGATTTCGACCGCTGCGGCGTAGTTTCCCGATCCCCGCGTATTCAGGAACGGATCGTCCAAGAAAGCAATTGCTTCTGTAAGGTCTGGGTCTGAACGAGCAAGTAACCTCTCGAATATCTGCCGGCTGTACCGCGGCTCTCGGTGGAGGTCAATTCTCAACCGGCGAGTGAAGTCCCTCGCATCTTCAATGCCCCAATTTTTCCCACACAAGAATCCCTCCAGCATCTCCTCGCGCGTAGCATTGTCCGCCTTGGTGAGGTATGACGGAGGAGCATGAGCAGTAAATTCGCTGGGTTCCGGTTGAAGCTCTGGATTCTGGTCGAAGGAGAAAGGTACTGTAGGAGGACCCATAGAATGATCTACGAAACCTTCAATGAACAATTAGCAGATACTCAAAAAAATTGTGTGTCTCGTCAGACATACTCTGGGTTTCGAATGGCGCTCTCTGCCACGGTTGGTCGGTCCATTTCATGTGTTCCCTCCCATTGCGGCCAAATAAACACGCGATATCTTCAGCCGTGCCTCCCCCTATGCTTGCCAGAGCGGTATTTCTTCGCTTTGCTAGGCGCCGCCGTGCTTCCAGTGGTCCTGGAACGCAGCTCCCATGCCGCCGTTGACCGTTGGCGAAGTGACGAAACGTGGCTGCGAGTAGGTCATCGCCGATCCAGAGATGGTCAAGCGTTGGAGTAGCTGGTGGCTTGAGAGCATGCCGGTAGGCATGTCTGCCGAAAGACATGGGATTGGCTATGGCATGTGCAGGCCAATTGCTGTCTTAGGCTTGTCGCAAGCACTTGGCATCAACTTTCGCATAGCGGCTTTCCGATTCTTGGCGTGATGACTAATCTCCGCGTCGCTCCAGTTGTGGATGGGTCAACGGGCCAATCTTTGGACTTCCATTTATCACCTCAGTCTATATATGTCCACATCATATTTTCCGCCGTGGCGTTTGTTCTGGTCATTATTCTCTTGTTTTATAAATTGTACTTTTTTCTACGTTTAACCTGGGTTTCATGTCAAATTATGCCATTTAACCCTTCCAAGCCGATTTTGTTTACACCCCATTGGATGTATACCAGAGGTTCGCATAACAATATAGGTATGGAAGTGGATTTATATAGAAGGTGAAGAAAAAAATATATTGGAATCATAAACACAACGCCAATGCAATGCATGCAAAATTTTGCCCACCAAGGGTATCACATGCTAATCATCTGGAAGAAGACATGATGGGACGGGGTGATAAAAAGTAAGACAGTCATGACGAGAAAGCGGGGGGAACAGGAGCTCAGGAAGCACTTTTTCCTTCGTTGGGAAGGGGCTTCCGTCCTGTCACCACATAAAAGTTCTGATAGGCATGGACATTTCGGTCCTGTATACTCCTCCTCACATCAACGAGGAAGACTTCAATTTCAGGTTTCGACCACCCAAGGGCAAGAAAAGGCTTATATGACCACCCGGATAAAGCATCGAGCCAATTACTCTCACTCCAGGCGCCGATGGTCTTTAGCTTCTCGTCCTGCGGCCAGGTGTTTATGGGGATTTTGTGGAGTCGTTGTTCAACGTCGACGAACCCTATATCTTTCATATACTGTGCAATCCGGTGGGCAATTCGGAATTGTCTTGGTGGATCGGACTCACGGCCCGAGCGCACACTAAGGTCTACCCAATCGTGCATGGCGTATGCACTGTATCCCCCGTCTTGGTTTTCGGGAGGCATGGTCTCATCGTCACATTCCGGTTTGGGATCTAGCTCTTGACATTCCATGTATGCCCCCGGTTTTAGGTGTCTGAATGACTGTCGTAGTAGACGTTTGAATGATGGCACAGCTCCGGTCATGTGTCCGGTATGAATGAAATCAAAATAGTTGTGGTCCCACATCCAGTCTTCTTCAGTAGCATCATCGACCAAGAAATGGACGTTGGGCGGTACTTCTGTTGGCTGCACTGGGGAAAGATCCGTCCCTATGATTTCGGTGTTTGGAAACAAGGCCGCTGCAAGAAAATAATTTGAGATGGTGAGACAGTAAACTTAGGACTAGGACGGGTGATCATACACATCTCTATTGGCCATATTCCTGAGCCGGTACCAATATCAAGAATATGCTTTGGGTCTCGGAGTGGGACTTGGAATAGCTTTCCGTCCATCGCCAGTTTGAACATGTGATGTTGCATGTCCAGGCGATCCATCTCCTGTTCATCATTGGGGTATACATAAGCTAAGCACTGAATTAGCCATGCTGTGTGAGATCTGACAGAGCTGGAATTGCAAACAAACCTCCCTCGTGGTACTTGTGATAGGTTCTTCCATTCTCAACGGGATAATCGGTTACACTGTCAGTCAAGGACTGCGTATCACTGTTATGATATGGTCAGTCATTTGATAAAGCAAAAATAAGAGGTGAGAAGGGCCAATGGAGGTATTACCCGTCATCATGCAGTACCTGCATCATTTTAGGTTAGCAACAAGAAGATAGTCAAATAGCCAGAATATCAATAACTATAGAATATTGATATGGGGGCCATGTTCCATAAGAGAAACCAACTTACAGGAGCTATAGAACCCATGGTCTCTTCGACGGGATCAATGACAGGTATCGTGGAAGGTGAGCTATTTCTGGAATCAGGAAGTGAGATTCCAACGTCCCAATAAATGGAAAAGACTCAAGCAAATCCAAAAGAGGGGGAAGAGCCCGACAGCTTGGGTTAAGTTATAATCTGTGGCAGGGCGGACAGTCCCGACAACTATAATTCATAGGATCGACATTTTCGAATTCAAAAAGCAAAAGCAAATCCCGGTAAGTGGAGATAAAAAGTAAAGATTCCTAGGCGCTTCAGGCGTGAAATCATTAAAAGCGGAAATAGTATAATGTTTCTGTGAAAAGGGATTTTCGTGAGAAAGATGGACGGAATTAATATATGATTTTCACGGATTTTACTTCATTTTTTTATTTCTTGATCTTTTCTCTTTTTGTCTTTTGCCTTTCTATTCAAAGTGCAGTACAAAATATTAAAGGTCCTTTTTCCCTTCAGAACCCGAATCATAAAATCTAATTTCAACTTATCCTCCAAGGGAGTCGGGCCAAACCTAGGACTCTTTTTCCGGTGATCCTAGGATCCTAGGATGATATGTATTATGTATGCAGTTACCAATGGCATATTTCGATCCTCACGATCGAAGACTGCTGTGCTCGATCGACCAATCGCGGTGGGTTCCATCGAACTGGGAATATGCAACCCGCCCAGCCACGGGCCGCCTTCAACCTTGCTGCTGGGATTTACCCTTTAAATTCGAATCAGCGATTTCCAACCCTGCAGAATCTTGCATAGTCAGGACACCGTTATTCCCCGAGGTCCCCTTTTCTTACAAAGTCTTTGACTCGAAATCAAAAAAGTTCGGGTGTGATAATGATTCTAGACTAGGAAATCTGGGCCCCATGGCCCCGTAGAAACGCGTAACTGTTGGATTTTGCCTCATAAGTTCATATATAACAATCGTACAGTTTTCACGCCAAGGCCTGTTAGTCATTGCATGTGTCGTCCAGGTAGGTTTGTTCGGTTTGGATTCCAATATCAAAGTGCCGGGATAATTACGGAAGATTTGGAGTGGTACTGTATAATGCTCGCAGTTTTCTCGGTTCTTTTTTTTGGTTTTCTTACGCCCGACGCGGCCCTAATTGCTAGTCTCTTACTGTATTTAGGTCTAGCGGTGGGAAAAGAGGAGGTGATCCATCAGAAATCCCGCTCCGGGGCTAGAAGCCTGGGCGTTCTCTTCCCCAAATTGCTCCAAAAAGGAGGGGCACACGGATGTGGAAGTGCATCACGGAACATGTACGGAGTACAATAGTTTCCGGTACTCCGGGTCTGCATATTGACTGTCTTTTTGTATTGTTTAAATTTTTTTTTGATGACGTCTGAACTTCTGCATTGTAAAAAAGGGTTACCTATGTTGTACTCTGTACATCATATAGATATACCGAGTGCCTAAGTTGCCATCCCAAACTTCTAGGCCTACAACAATAGTAATCTTCTATCATTACTCTGTTGCAAGCGTTGACCAAAAGGGCATGGTTCGAATGTATATAAACAAAAATAACAAACGTGCCTAGGTATATCCCATGCCACAAAAACACCAATACAAATGTATCGAACCTTCTGTACCCCGAGTACCCCGAATCAATAAAAGTTGTTATCTTATATATTACTATTCGAAGCGACAGAAAGAAAAAAAAAAAAAAGGACGTAATGGGTCAGAGGCGCCTGCAGATAGAATCCCGAGCACAGCATCCCTGCAGCCGTCCCAAAAATAATGGGTCTCGATGCCATGGAGCCGGGTTTCCATCTAAAGGGAACACCCCGGAAATTTATTGGAAAATTTTTAAGTCAAAACAGCCTTGGAATTCACCCGGACCCGGCGGCCAGGAAAGTTGGTCGGGTTCCGACGTGTCGGTAACGGCCCCAGAGCCAATTTTCGAACTACATACCTTCTTCAAGGGCTTTTCAGTCGGATTTTTCCCCCTAATTTCCTAGGTATGTCGACACGAATTATTGTTTTTTTTTGTTAAACTCTGCGTCTCTAATGCTACATAAGTACAGTAAATGCGTGTTTTGGTATTTACCGAATCACAACCCACGAACTGCTAAATCGTCACTCCGCAGCGGAGCAACTCGGTAGTGGAGACAGCTCTTGGCGGATTATCTCTTTTGAGATCCTTGCTTTAGTCGCTGACATCTAAAAGTACTCACCGTATGCGGAACTTGTACAGAGTACCGGGGTTTCTTTCAAGTGGGGAGATGGATATTGGAAATTGCAGGGGCTATTAGGTATTCACAACGAACAACTCCGAATATATATACGCCCAAGCCAAGGCGCATGTTACACAAAATGCCAAGGCTATGACAATCAGAGAATGGCCTATTGGATCCAAGTCCAAGAAGAGAGACCACGTATGTATCTACCTAGTGGGTAGGGTTGTGCATCGGAAACTTCATCCAGCGAATCTGTACTGGACTCTGAAAGAAAGAGCAAGTGACAGGCGTGCTAAGCAAATGTATGCAGCGCGAATCACCCTGAGCTGCACATTACTCCCGCCCTCGGTAGGATACCACCTACATGCACCTGGAAGTATGTGCCTGGCTCCATTCTTGACAACTCATCTACTTCTAAAATAGTGAAAATCTATAGAACAGTAGGTATTTTGGAGTCAAGTAAGACATACGGCCTATTATCCTTGACAACGTGCATATTTAAACCATCCGTCTTGGTACTTTCGCTGCACCTACTCAACACTACGCGTCTTGCATATAAAACAGTTGCCTGCTGGCAAAAGGGTAGACCGCTCTAGTAATTTCACAGATATTTATTCCCCACAGACGATATCACTAGTTTTTATTGGCCGCGGATGAGAAATACATGTCTATCCGCAAGAATTACCACCTCATGGGGCAACCTTTCTCAGCAGCTTGTGGGTTGCACTAAGGACGCACGACAATACAAATACGAAATTAACTACAGAAAAAGAAGAGAAAATAAACTTCTTAACATCCTTTAGAACTAGCCAACGCCTAATAAATCCACCCTTAATTCTGTGCACGGTGCGGGGTGAATTTATTCACAGAAATGATCGGCTAGAGAGATCCACACAGTTCAATTCACGGTCTCGGCGAAAAACCCACCACGTTCTCTCCTTTGTATATTGGAGGTGGAACTGACCCATCGCTTAATAAAAGCTAAAAAGTATTTGGAATTAGAACTGCAAATCATTTGCTAGAATCTCAATTTAACTGGACCTGGGTCAAGGACGCCCAATCGGCACGGCTCAGGATTAGGCAAAAGGTGTGTGCACACAACTGTCAGACGCAAGCGACACGTAGATCATGCACGTCTACAGTTGGTATAGGGAGGAAAATATTCCCATGAACACCGCCACCACCTACTTACCAATAAGGAATTGGTATCGAAATGGTGAAGCTATTGTCAGTGCTGAGTTTCCTTTTACGGCCTGCTCTCATTCAGATAATTCCTTCCGTTGTAGCTTGCGCTCTAGAAGGGCCTTTAGTAGCTCTCCAGGACAGCCTAAATGATTAATCGGCAGGTTATATCCACTGGTGTGAGTTCTATTGGCGGGAACGTGTCCGTCCTATAGAATCCACGCAAATCTACGAGGGAGAAACAAAGAACGGCTGGGATACTCGTTGGACGCAGTACGCAGTACAATATATTGCAATACTCCCTATATCTAATGAACATTATTTGTATATGCATATCGCTTTGCTTGGTATCTCTAATTCCCAAATCTATTTTATCTGCTCATGTGCAAATCCTTTTGGAAGACGACGTATTGTCAGACAACTCGTACAGTCGCGCGTCGTTCTATTATGTCTTCCATGGTGGTTGGTTGATTGGGCCTGACTGTCAACTACATGCATGTCTTCAACCCATGTCCCAGGGAATGCATTATCTTCTTTGGGCACGGGATTCTGTTGGGCTTGGCAGATTGTAGGGCTTGGTTTTTTTCGCCCATGAAAATTGTTTTGTCGGAGTTACGGTCAAAAAAGGACAATAAAGAATACTCAAGTGGATATATATGTTAGCGGTCTCGTGTGTTCTCGTTGTTTTACACATAACTTACGGAACTTCTATAACTCATAAACATCTACACCTTTAGTTCAGTAGCCGGAATTATAAGGATATCAACAAATAGATACTTAAATCGGTTGATATATAGGACAAGATGCAAACAGCTTACTTCCCAATCGGGTTATATTGATATCGGCACGGATAATTAAAATTCCGACATGACGCACTTTGTGATCTTGAGCGACTCGAAGTACAGTGCATCAGCAAAGCTTCGGCGAGGACATATCTCTATTCTGCAAATATCATTTCGAAGCAATAGTGAACATTTTGCATTTTGTTTCCTTCATGTTTTATCTTATTGAATTTCCGAGGAGGGCGGGGTACTAAAACACCACTTTGAGTGCTGACACGCGACGCGTAGAGCCTCATCGGATAAAAAGCCTGGAGACTTGCCGCGTGACTCTGCAGTCCAATAGTTTGGATTGAAATGGTGCGCCAAACACAAGCTCGTTCCACAAGGAGCCGGGCGACACCCGCCGGTCAACTTAAACGCCAGAGACAGACAGATGATCAAGCTCCAGATGTCTATCAAGAACTATTAGAGGAGGCTGAAGCCAGAGATCCCGAGCATTTTGCCTCAGACAGACCAATCAAAAGGCGCAAGGCCGGGGATATGAAAGCTATCCCTGTGGGATTAGGTGTCTTGGAACAAACACATCGGGGCGCAGAAGCAAACAAGCCTAGCACACAACCAGTGCAAACTGTTTACGATTCATCGACATCAGAAGAATCAGACGTTGATTGGGAAGATGTTGAATTACAGCAACCACCCCAGTCTTTGTTGAATAGACATCTCGCGTCTCAAGGTGACGATGAGGTGCTCCAGATCACACTAGAGCAAGAACCCGAAAAGCACAAAAAAGCAGTCCAAAGAAGGAAGCCCTTAAATGGAGCCGAGAGGAAAGCCAGATTGGATGTGCACAAATGTCACATTCTATGCCTTCTTGGCCACGTTCAGTTGCGCAACATGTGGTGCAATGACGAGGAATTACAGGTGAGCGTTGGCCTACCTTGACATCTCGATTGGGGGCCTAACAGGATCATAGGAGTTCTTAAAGAAGACACTGCCTAGAAAAGTAATCGCTCTTCTCCATCCAGATGAGGGTAAACCACATTATAGCAGATCCACCACGTTTATGGATGGTCTCAACCAGGCTGGAGATGCCTTCACACGCAGATTTCGGGTTACCAAACCAGGAATGAAACGGGCTCATTGGGCGGAAGATGAATCGCAACTGAAGCAGAAAATGGTATCCTTCACAAGTTTTTCCATCAACAATTATTTACTGACATGAATATATATAGGAGTCCATCATGTCGAATGCTGAAGTCTTTTTATCCAAAGGGGATTTTCGAACCCAAGCGAAGACAATGGAAGGATCCCGGGACTTTGGAGCCCAGCTATTCTGTGCCCTATTGCGGTCTGTAGCCGTAGAGGCGAGACTTGTATGCTCATTGCAACCGTTGCCATTTTCTGGCACTGTGAAAGACATGACGCCATCTAAACCGAAGCATCAATATATCGTGATATCTTCAGACGATCCTGGATCCTCAACAGATGAACGCAGCAAGAGCGAAAAGTCACCTGCAGCTTTAAGGCCTCGACGGATTGGGCAACCCAAATTCACTCCCTCGCGTCCTCAGCCAAAATTCCATTCAGGCATGTGACTTCCAGCGACTGCGAGTCTATGTTTAACTAACCGCCATAGGTCTGATTCCGACATCACGAGACTCGTCATTTCCGGTAGTTTGGGTGGAAGCTTTCAACCAAGCTGCACAGAAATGGGTTCCAATTGACCCCGTCGTAACAAAATCCCTTGCTAAACCTTCGAAATTTGAACCGCCCGCGAGCGATTCGTTAAATTTGATGAATTATGTGGTTGCTTTCGAGGATGACGCCTCCGCGAGAGACGTCACTCGTCGTTATGTAAAAGCATTTAATGCAAAGACTCGGAAACTCCGCGTGGAAGTCACACGGAATGGCGAGGAGTGGTGGGAAAAGGCGCTAAAGGCCTATGAAAAACCCTTCTTCGAGGATCGGGATGAGACAGAAATTAGTGAGCTGACATCCAAATCAGCAGCTGAGCCCATGCCACGCAATATACAGGACTTCAAGGACCATCCTGTCTATGCGATTGAGCGACACGTTCATCGCAATGAAGTGATTCATCCCAAACGAATCATTGGGCACGTGGGCTTGGGGAAAAGCACAACACGGAGTGAGATATCAGAACCCGTTTATCGTCGATCTGACGTGCATATCGTGCGAAGCTCCGATAAATGGTACCGCCTTGGGCGGGATGTCAGAGTTGGCGAGCAGCCTCTCAAGCGTGTTGCTGCAAGTCGAAACAAGGGTGGAGGCTTCAGTGATGATGAAGAGGTAGACGAGCCTCAAGAGACTACACTATACGCCGAGTTCCAGACAGACATCTACGTCCCACCACCGGTGGTTGAGGGAAGAATTCCGAAGAACACATATGGAAACCTCGACGTCTATGTACCCAGTATGGTTCCGTCTGGTGGAGTTCACATCAAGCGGGCGGAGGCCGTTCGAGCTGCTCGAATCCTTGGGATTGACTATGCCGACGCAGTTACTGGATTTGATTTCAGAGGCCGCCGTGGTACGGCTGTACTCGGGGGAATTGTTATTGCCGTTGAGTACCAGGAGGCACTTGAGGAAGTTTTGCGGGGTCTTGAAGATGAGAAGCGACATGCTGCACTGGAGGCAAGAACTGCGGAGGCTCTGCGGGTCTGGCGGCTCTTTTTGATGAAGCTTAGGATCGCAGAAAGAGTCAGGGAGTATGCTAGCGATGATGAAGAACAACAGCCCGAAGATATCGAAGACGAAGTGGATGCTGAAGATGCGGGTGGTGGTTTCTTTCCTGAACCAGACCAACCAGCCAATAGTCCGCCACTGGATGTTCCGGGAAAGGGCAAAATGACACATGATCACCATTTACCCGAAGACAGAGAAATGGAATCGCCACTAGAAGAGGAGGATTATACTCTCGGAGGGGGATTTCTTCCCGATGATCATGATCCAGCTCCGGACCCGGTGGAACCTCCAAAGCCTGCGCGTTTGGCCACAAACCCGACATCGATTCCTGAGAGTATTGCTAGGAACAGAGCATTGAAAACGCCTCGCTATTCATTGATGGTTGTCCCAAACCACAGCTCAACCCCGACATCCGTACCTCAAGCCCTCGCAGGATCATCTGATGAAGTTCCTATCTCAGTAGGTTCATCCACAAACGGTGGCTCCAAATCTGCAAGTGTGGTCACTATCTCCCGCCCACTGTCACCAGTGCCAAATTATGATTCTGACAGCGAGATCGAGAAGGGATCTTTGCTTTCTGAGGACCCTGAAGATGAGGATGCAATTCCTGAATGGCTGATGTCTGATGAAGGCTAGTTCTTGATGCTCAGACCTGTTGTATGTTATGTACGTCGAACATAAAATATTCCAATAAAAAGAATAAACCCAAGACTCGCTTTCGTTAACCGCTTCACCGTCACTCATAATTGCGCTCTGCTCTCTCATTTCTGGCTTATGTAGCACTATATCGCAACCTCTTTCAACAGCCCAGCCGGGCTAGCTCAATCGGTAGAGCGTAAGACTCTTAATCTTAAGGCTGCGGGTTCGACCCCCGCGTTCGGCTATTCCTAAAAACCAAACCTGAGATTTCTTTTTTGCTCTTTATTTTTTTGTATTTCTCTAGCTAGGATCAAATAGTCCAAAATGGAACAATTGCATTATGATTTTTGTTTGTGTGTCATTACTATTCCATTGTCCACGGGTGAATGCATAGGGGGTGAATGCATAGGAGGCGAAACTATAACGCACGTACCAAGTCGATATTACCGACGCGTCGACGCGAACCGCCTCAGGCATCAATCCCTAACGTCATATATTTTACCTCTAGGCCCCAGTCTCATGTTTAAGCCTTGAAGCATTACTGTATTGCTGTTGCGATGAAAGAACCGCATGAATCTAGAAACCTGCCGGAGACTCCTCGAAATCAGTTCCGTACCCCGAGAACGCCTAGTACACGAGGTCTTCCAACAACTACCACGAAAACCGTCACCGCACGGAACCGATCACCACAGTCATCGACATCGGCGAGCACTCGTAAGCGAACATCGCTGTCACGAGTGCAATCTACTCTCACACAGATTGACTTCATCACACAGCCCACACCTGCGTATGATGACCAGCTTGGCTACATCGACGAGCACAAACGTCGCAGCGATAATCAAAACACAACTGAGCGGCCAACTGTAGATGATGGGTCCGACAAGGATTCAGACTATCTCCCTGCTCCACCAGTTCGGTCAGCTCGTATCTCCAAATTCAAGATGCGCGAGGCAGAACGTGATTTGGATGAACGCCCGCAGAAGCGGAGGAGCTCTGCAACCGTCAATCGAGAAGCATACCGAAGTCATGGACCACGAAAGAGCGAGACACCAAGAGCGAGTGCTCGTCCTAGGGGTGGCCGAAAATCCTTGGAGAAGTCAGTGGGAAAGCGGGACAAGACTTTAACTCAGATGGACTTTGTACGACGTTACATTACCATCGATGATGATGATGACGACGACGTGAACATGGGATATATCCAGCCGACGCCACAGAAGAAGGACGTTAAAGATGAACAGACCGACCATACGCTTAAATCGAATCAATCAAAGCCTACGAAGCGTCAGGCCTCTGCTAAACGAAAGCACAGAGTATTTGAAGAAGAGCTGGATCTCTCTACCGGGGAACCTATATCTCAACAAAAAGAAACACAATCGTCAAATACTGGAGGCGCCGCTGAGGGCGAACGGGCATATACAGCTCCTGTTACACCGCGGAAGCTTCGGACGCGCGAGATTCCTTCTTCACAAACGCCCGAAAGCCCTGGTCTCGCAATTATAACCTCATCTCAATTTCGCAGCGCTACTCGCTCTCCTTCAAAACAGAAACCGTTAAACCCCACCAATAATCCCATGCAATCTATCAAAGAAGAACCACCGGAGGTTCGGCGAGCGATCGAGGATTCACAGGACCCCGGAGGCGAATCTTTGCCTCGGCCAACGACATTAGGTTCTTCAGGCATCTATAACAACTTGAACCATCTTGATCCAACCCATACCGAGCAATTCCCTTCATCTGCACCTCCGACGGAGTCGACTGACCAAGAATTCCCCACGGAAGCAAATGGGAACTCGAGAAATGAACCCACCAAGAGGGAGAGGACAGTCGTCTATGAAACGGATGCGGACTCAGAATACGGGGAATTTGAGGATAGCCTTGATAGACGTTCAGTGATACCATCTCCAAAGAAAAAACACCGAGGAATTGGTCTAAGGGACGGTTCACAGGCGACCCAACGCAGCCCAGAGTCGCCCAAGGATGATTCCCAAGACCTTCCTCTACCAGCTGTGCAATCGAGCCCTGGATTGGATGATCCCCCTCCATCCGAAGGTCCAATGTCTGATGCCTCAATTTGCTACCAAAGAATGCATGCAGCTACACAATTTCCGCACGAGCCAATCCCAACGCTGAATACGCAGAAGATGTCTGAGCTTTTCCCACACGGGGGTAGTACTCAGTACCCAAATTTGGAGCCATGGAGGCCATCTCTTCAAAAACAGGCACCGGGGCTATCCTCGCAAACGCAGACACAGAGCCAAGAAGGCGACAAAGAGTCTACCGAAATGGTTCCGGAGTCGTCGCCCATCCGAGAACGAGAACGTGGAATCGAGTCCGGCGATAGTTCGTTCCAACGACCTCGTGTTCCTGGATCAGTGGTCCAAGTTGAGTCCTCGCAGGCGGTGGACCGAGATCCTCAATGGCAGGGCCGAGTCCTCTCTCGCAGCCAGCTTCTTACATCGAGCGTCATGGAGAGCATTCCGCTCCCGAACTTTTGGATGGGGAGTCAGGATAGTGTAGGAGAGCCTTATAGCTTACCTGAAGGATGATATTGTTTCCAAGATCATTGTTAATAGATTATGAATTATGAATACCTAAAATATTATTGAATATTATTGAATATTACATATGTACATAATCTTTACTTAAGTAATGCCCATGTTTGTACTCCGTACGTTGTAGGTAGTTTTGAAGATCGTCGCAAGCGGGGCGGTCGGGCCATGGGCGAACGCGGAGATCCTGCAACCTTGTGCTTCCAAGCCTTTTCTCTTTTCCTTACAACTTCCCAATCATGGATATCGCCTACGATCACATCCTAGAGGAGGCATACTCTAACAAAGAGGGAACCTCCGACTCCAAGCCCCAGGAGCCCAACCCCAATCTCAACGACGAGCTACAAGAGACCTTCCGCGCCTTCTCCAACAGTCCGTGGGGCTCCCGAATTGGAGGACTATGGGACAATGTACGCAAACAGGGAGAAACATACTATGAGGGTGCTCGCCAGGAGTATGCAGCTGCCAGCGAGGAAGCTGTGAAAGGATTTTCAGATCTTAAAGAAACACTCGCCGACCGGACAAAGGGGCTGTCTCTCAGCACAGCTGGTGTGACGGGCAGTGGTGAGGGACAAAGTGACGAAACCACCACACCTAAGGCTGCCGCAGAGGGAGAATCTGGCGACAAACCTGAAGGCGCTGGCGCCAGTGGAGAAAGCTTTATTGCTCGGTTGAAGGCGGAAGCCGCTCGGCGGCTGAAGGAGATTGAGAAGGCAGAGGAAGCAGCTGATGAAGCGATCCTACGATTTGGAATGAACATCGGCCAGAAGCTGCGTGAGGCCGTTAGTATTTTGCCTCCCGATGCCGATGAGTCTGGCAAACTTCTTTTCGAGAGCAAGGATGCCGAGGGAAAGCGGGTCATCCATGCTACACGGTTCGAGGCACAGCTGCACGTTATTCATTCGAACTTGGAAAGCTTCAGCAAAGACCCGGTCAGCGACGAGTGGCCTGGGTTTAAAAATGAGTTCAATGTCGAAATGAAGACGGATGAGATCGCCGCCGATCTGGAGAAATACCCCGAGCTCCGTTCGGCCATGGAGAAGCTCGTGCCGGAGCAGGTGGAATACGTGGAATTCTGGATTCGCTACTACTTCTTGCGTCTCGTCGTGGAGACCGAGGAGAAGAAGCGTAAGGAACTTTTGAAGGGTATATTGAGTCCATCACTCCGGTGATTTTTGTTTTCAGTTTTAACCACTTCTACTCTATAGGTGCTACTGCCGAAGACGAAGAAGAAGTCGGCTGGGACGACGATTCCGACTCTGAGTCCCAGTCTCCCTCTACTCCGCAGGTCCCCTCCGGTGCCCAGAGTCTCGCTCCCACCAAAGAAACCCAGAAAGCCGAGCCTCGCCGGTCACACGACCTGCACTCCCAAGCCGACAGCGAATCCAGCTATGATGTTGTGAGCGGTGCTGCTAGCCGCACACCTGGTAGTCCCAAGGAAAAGAGTCCCACCGTTGCGAAGGCGGACGAGAGCGACGAAGATTGGGAGTAACTCACCTATCCCCTTTCAACGACGCATCAGCAAGAGAATCGACGTTAGTTCCGAGGGCACCTGTCTATACTATATACCCTCGAAAGCGTGATCTTGCTACTGCGCCAGCTTAAGCACGTCCAATTGCCTGCTGAAGAAATTTGCTTTGGTTGGAGTTTGGGAATGTTGGATCTTTTATCTTTGGCGTTTCGGGCTTTTCTCTCTCATTTTATTCCCAGCTCTGTTTTCTGCAACTTGCTTTCAGCGAGCGATGTTATCTGTCTATGCGGTTGATATCTGAATACGCACGTCATTCCTTCGATCTACATAGTATCTCAACACAAGGGTCTGACTATTCAAGCTCCTAGGTAGACGATTAGCCGACATTTGAAGGCCGCTTGGATGATGGCATTCCCCAGAGCAATTTAACATCCAGTAGAGGATTCGTCCGAAGGGTAGGGCAAAAGATCAATCTTGTAATGCATTCGTTATCTCATAATCATGATCATAATACATGTACAAGGCACGATAGTCCATTCATTTCCCATTCATTTCCCATTCAATCTGTCGTGCCAGACTCCAGGTCTCTATCATTCGGAGACCTACCCATCTTCTTCGAAAGGGGCGACTCAGCATACGCAGGCCTCATACCGCGCAGGCCACTTGGACGGACGTTCGGCGAGCCTTTCCGCACCGGGGTTTCCGGTGTACTCTCCCTGGAACGAATATGGAACCCCTGTGCCCGCCCACTAGGCGAGTAAGGATCGCTGCCATATTGGTGTGGACCACTACCGGGCTCCCAGCCGTACTGGTAATCCTCGCCGCGGTGTTTGACGGGACTTTCATTGTAGGGGTCCCAGCCAACGCGACGACGAGCCTCAGAGCGGAGTCGCTGGCGATGTTGTTCGTCGCCGCCAGCGCCGGTGGTGGATGATTCTTCCAGGAAGAAGTTGAGGAGCTCGTCGCTGATGGAGAGGTGGGATTGTTGCTGGAATTGCTGGAGGGACGTTAGGCGGAGGAGGGTTTCGAGGAGGGAGAGGGATGTGCGGATGTTCTCGAAGTGAGGGTTGGAGACTGTTGTTGTGGCAGCGGCGGATGAGAATGACTGATTTAGGGGAGATGGGGAGTGGGATGAATGTCCCTTCTCATTAAGTGATAGCCTGGCCATCATATTTGGGTCGATTGAGGGTTCATCTGTGGATGATTCGGGATTTTCAGCTTCCGACTCGGTATCGGAGGTTTCATCTTCGTTGTAGACTTCGAATGCGATCCATTCTGGGTCTAACCCGGGAGGTAGACGCCATTCTTCGGGAATGGAGTCTTCGTGCAGATGATCAAAGCTGCTGGTTTCCGGATTGCCGCCTCCGTTCAGCTGTGCGTCGAGTTGAGCTTGCTCCTCGTCTGGTTCCTCCTCGGATTCTGTTTGAGGGAAGTCCTCCTCTATCTCGTTGCGTTCCATCATGCGTCGTGGCGGGAGAGCGTTTAGGTCCCGTTTCAATAGCAGCACCGGGTTGTTTGTTTCGCCCTCTGTGCTGATGTTGAGGATCCTTCCGGTGTCTGCGTAGAAGATTTTCGAAATTTGATGAATAGGAAGAATCTCTCTGATTCCTGCCGTGGAAACACCTTCATAGGTTTGGGGCTGCGGGTCATTTTCGTCGAATGTGTGGACTCGGCCATCATCTAGGTCTTCGATGATCAGGACTTGATAGGTGTATTCATCGGATCCTGCTGGTCCTGGAAGTTTCGTTCTTGGGCGTTGGTTTGGAGACTGCAATGCGTCTATTGGAACACGACGCAGCTTCAAACGTGCCTTGTGCATGACTTCCTTCCAGGTGGCCTCGCGGACAGATTCTTCGTCATGAGGTCGCAAGTGGCTGGCAAATAGCATGTACATCGATAAGGTAAAAGTCGGCCCTACTTGAACTGCCTGAGATGGGGTCATTGAATATTGTGTATCCCCTGCTGTGAGAAACGTGCTTGCTTGGAGGAGTCGGGATGGCGACACCGTTGCCGGCAAGTTAGTGGATAACTTGGCCCCAGAGGTGGTGATGGCCAGGTTCATCAATGGCACTGTGTCCTCAATCCGAGCCAACAGCTTCTTGATATCTTTGATAATAAGCTTAATTTCTTTCTCGCTGTTCGTCTGATCTTTCGCCGATCTGGCTCCTTTGCGTCTCAATTCTTCAGATGACGCGGCTCTTGCCAGCCTCTGCCCTAGGGCTTGAATGTCCCATCTCAGAGACTTTGTGAGGGCGACTGCAGATTCCAATGACGTATTGCCTCGAGCAGCACTAGGCGGATTATGAGCTTTCTGGCAATCCAACCCAGTGTGGGGTGACTCACATCAACTCAATCATGTCAATAGATGGGGCGATAACTTGTATCTTGCTTTCTAGGCGTTGTTGTAAGGAGACTAGCTCATCTCGATCCTCGCTTTTGACATTCTGGAACTGGTCAGCGTTGACTTCTTCCCGCAACAGCAAGAATAATATTTACTCTGAGCAAGCGCGAGGACTGGCGCATTGCATAACTAGCAGTTATCGCAATTCCTGACCTGCATGACATATTTTAGCATTGGAGGTGTCATTTCTCAGTCTTCATCATTCATACCGAATGGCATAATTCATGGCCTGCCGGGTGAGCTGTATGAAAATTAGCTACTCGTCCCATTACAAGTAATATAAGCGACCAACCCCAGTTAAAAAAGCATCCATCTTGGTCTAAGTTAAAGGCCAATGGCCTTTAAAATTCGTAGTGTAGATTGTATTGGCAAGTGATATAAGAGGCCCCCTTAGCACCTGCATGGAGGGGTGCTTATCGATAAGAGAAAGGTCAAAGAAGATGAGCCCAACTCTCCGACAAGGTTGTGCCTTTCAAAAAAAGAAGACAATGTAATGAGATCAGATAATTGAAAAAAGGGCATAAAACATAAATTAGAATGGTTTCCTAACAAGCATTCACTCACCTTACAAAGAAAACCCGTTCACTAGAGTATCACGTGAAAAGAAAATATCGCGGGGTCTTAGTCATTCACCTGTGCAAAATCAAAAGGCCCTGGGGCCCCTCTTATTGACCCAACCTGTATTTGTCCAATTCCGTCTTGGTTTAATATTTTCGTGTCCTTGATTCAACCTTGAATCTTATTTCACGATGTCAAACCAAACCCCTGAATCCTGGGAGGATGATCTTTCCCGACAGGCTGAGGGCGTTAACCTGAACGCACAATCTCGCCCTCAGGCTCAAGCACCCTCTTTCACGCCTGGAGCCGCCTCTTTCACACCTGGAGCCTCTACCTTCGTCCCCGGACAGCAGTACCAACAGTATGCTGGATACCCCCAGCAGGGATACTCTCAGTACGGCCAACAACAGGCCTACGGTGGTTACCAGCAACAGCAACAGCAGCCGCACCAAGCCTATGGCCAGTACAATGCCTATGCCCAGCAACCCGGTAGCTTCAACCAGTACAACAATGGACAGCAACAGCAGCAATACGGTGCTTATAACCAGCAGTCTCGCCAGAATGCGC